AGAGAGAGAGAGAGAGAGAGAGAGAGAGAGAGAGAGAGAGAGAGAGACTACTACCTATCAAAGAGTAGCACTGTTGGGGTTTTTATGTTCGGCCTCCAGTACCTTGGTACACACTGGGCATGTCTGTGGAGACCAATCACAGTCCCTGTGATCTTGGACTTCCCCAAGCGCCCGTTGAACCTGCCCAGAGGTGACAACCCCTGGGGAAATGTCTACTTGAGTTCTCCTTTCCCTTCAGTCAGACAAAGAAACAGAAACTTATGTCTCGAAGACATGGCCACAAGCTAAAGGGTGGAAACCTTGGGCTTCAAGCTGAGCAGGAAGCCTGCTGTGGCCCAGAGCACTTGGCTATGACACAATTTCCATCAGCCTAGGAGTCTCTGGTCTCTGAGCCAGAAGCAGCTCATTTCCCAGGCTCACCAGAGCAGTGGGGTATAAAAGAGCGGGGCCATCAGGTGGAATTCAGTTTCCCCCATCCCAAGACTTGAAAACTGGACCAGATAGATGCTCCGGAAGCAGCTCCAGGTGGGAGCCTAAGGTTCTCTGTTGGCGGGAAGATACCTCATTGGGGGCTGTGATAGCAAGGCCCAGAGTTCCTCTCTCGGCAATGTGAGGAATTTCTCGCGGTAGAGTCACAGACCACAGACCCAAGGGAAGGAGCTGAGGAGGAAAGACAGGATCCCCACAACCCCTCTTGGCTTGACTCCCGGTCCTTCACTTACCTCCAGCCTGGCTTCGTCAAATGGTGTCGCCCTCACCATGTGCTGAGGTGTGATCCCGCTGACTCGGGTTCTATAATCCGTGATCTCTCCCTCAGGCCGGATGTACTTGTCATACAGGACTGTGCCATAGAGGTTCACGATGCTGCAGCGGGCAAGGCCGCTCACCCTTAGAGGTCCTATACCCACCATCTCACAGTCCATGGCCACCACCTCTGGACTGCCTGCCATGCTCCTTGGCGACCCTCAACGTCCTGGAGGACCGGGGGGGGGGGGGATCAGGGTGTCATTCCAGTACCAACAAAGCCTCCAGGCATCCTGGGCCACCACCCTGCCAGACTACACCCTCAGCCCTAACCTTTGCCTTCGATGCCACCTGGCAACAGGGGAAGCTGGCCACTTGCTGCCCTGCAGCTTCTCTAGGCTTAGGTCCCAGAGCCTGCTGGTCCTGCCTGCCTGTCCCACCAACAAGGAGCCCCCTCCCTCCGCCTCCCAGGCTGGGCTGCTCTGTGGATCCTGCTCTTACCTGTCTGCTTCAAGTGCCCCGGGGGTCTTGTCTGTCTGTTGTCACTTCTCAGGGACTGCCGTCACTTTGGGAAGTGACTCATCTCTAACGTGATCCTGTTTTCGTTTCAGTTTCTGGTTTGTTATCAGGGGAAGTTGGGGAGAGGGGCAGGCCATGGAGGCTGGGCTACTCCATCTCAAGGCCAGCAGGTGGGGGACCGGACTGCGTCAGGGCCAGCTGTGCCGGGGTGACTCATCTCTAACTTGAACCTGTTTCAGTTTCAGTTTTCTGGTTTGTCATCACGGAAAGTTGGGGAGTGGGGACAGGCCGGGTAGGCTGGACTACTCCATAGCCTCAAGGCTGGGGGGGGGGGGCAGGCTGGCAGGCTGGGTCAGGGCCGGCTGCTGTCAGGGTGTCCCTCCTCTGGCCCTGCCCTCCTCCCTTCCAGATGACGCGTCTGACGTGGATGGAGTGAATTGCAACATCTCTCTCTTTGCTTTTTCACCCTCCACCCAGAGAATAAACATCTCCGGGATTGGAGCCTGAGGAATGTCCCACAACTTCTGGGATCTGCTGTCAGTGCTGTGAGGTCTTCTGAGGGCAGAGCAAGCCCTCAGTGAGACAATGAGGCTATTAGCAGGACGGGCAGGAGGAGGGTTGGGTAGGAGCGGGCAGCTTCCTGGCCTCGGCCCCAGTGAAGGCAAAGGAGGCTATGAGGGGCGGTTGGTGGTTTCTACCAGTTCAGTAGTGCCTTGTGGGGCTGAGTCTCTACCTGGGATAGTTGGACCAACAGCAGCAGACCCTGAGAAGACCTCAAGCCAGGCTGTTCTTCCAAAGGGGGTATAGTCCCCCTGGCTGGACCTTAGAATTCTCAGAGTGGTACCTATTATTAGGTCCGAGGGGAGAAATCCCAAGGACTCCCCAAAGAGGACAGGTTCACTGACTTTGTCCAAAGGGACAGCCAAGGCTCAGCTCAAGCTGATGTTGGGGCTTCCTTCTTCCGACCTGTTATAATCACCAGTACCTGGGTCCAACGGAACACACCGTACACTTGGATCTGTACAAGATCGTGTACCTGTTACACATTTCAGCGTTTTAAAGTCCGTGCTGGCCTCTGGCCCTTCTCACCTCCCGGACTCCTCCCTGACTGTCCAGCTCTCACCCCTCCTCCCCTCCTCCCTGCCTTCTTTAAAACCAGCAATAAGCCGCAATCCCAATTCTCTCACTGTTCTCTTCTCACTTCTCCCTCTTTTTTCTCTGCTCCCAAGAGATGGCCCTGGCCATGGCTGGTCTGCGGTTTTTCTTCTCTGCTCTGGACGCTTCTGGATGCCTCTGGCTGTTCTCTCACAGCTACAGTAAAAAATCCTCCCCTTAATCCCGGGGTCCTGGCCTCAGTGCTTTCTTTACTGAGCTCTTTGCTTACATTTTCCATGCAGGGAATGTTCAGTATTCTTTTGGTAAACAAACGAGGTACACCTGGGTCAGAAATAGACCTAGCGGGCTGAAAAGGAGCATTCTGGCATTGTGTGCCGTGGGGAGATTCCAGAAAGGGGAGAGCCAGGCCTTTCCTCCCTGCCCAGGTCTGTATAAAATAAGTCTTCAGCCTGATGTGATGTCACAACCATTTGTGGTTTTGGAAAGGGAAGTTGCCCGGATCTGTGGTTTCTTTGCCAAACCAGACTTCACAAATCAAATGTTTGGGTTGAGAGTATAGTTCAGCTTGGTAGAGTGTTTGCTTAGCATGCAAGAAGCCCTGGGTTCGATGTTCAGCATTAGCCAGGTGTGGCGGTATAGGGTGTAATCCCAACACTTGGCAGATTGGGGTAGGAAGATCAAGAATTCAAAGTCATCATCAGTTACTGAGCAAGTTCAAGACCGATCGGGACTGCTTTGAGACCTTCATCTGCCCCACTGCCCTTCCCGTCTCAGTTCAAACCCGAGCCCCGGGGCTCTGTACGATGACTCTTCCCGGGCTCATATGCCTCCTTCAGACGATGTCAACCATCTCCCCAGTGCCAGGACCAATGACTAAACTCCAGTGGTTCTCAACCTTCCTAATGCTGCTACCCTCTAACGTAGTTCCTCATGGTGTGGTGACCCCCAACCATAAACTTACTTTTGTCGCTACTTTGTAACTGTAATTTTGCTACCGCTATGAATCATAATGTAACTATCTGATATGCCAGATATCTGTGACTCCTGTGAAAGGGACATTTGACCCCCGGGGGGTCGCGACCCACATGTTGAGAAACTCTGGGCTGGAGGCCCCACTCTAGGTGGGAGTCCTGTGGCAGAACTATGAAGGTACCTTCCTTCCTGCATGCACGCCTCAGGGTTTGGCATTTGCTGCCATTTAAAGAATTGCTGTAGAACTGAATGGTATTGTAAAATAAAATAAAAGGAAAAACAAACAAACAAACAAAAAAGAATTGCTTTTCTGGGAGAAATAAAATGCACTACCATTTCTTCTTTAATAGGCCCCAACAAGCTAAAGAATAATTCCACCAAAGGACAACTTGGGGAATCAATGCACTTATTGGGCTTCCTTATGGAGCCTGGGTGAGAGCGACTCACAGGAGCCTGGGAGGACGTCAAAGCAAACACACGCTAAGTCTTCACCCTGTGTGGACGATGGCCTCCCCGTAGAGGCATTGCTGGAGCTCCAATCTTCCCAGCTCATAGACTTTACCACTGCCTGAGATCCCAGGCCCCACGCAATTAGGGCAGAGGTACATACTGACGGGTGGGGGAGCAGCTGAAATCTCAGATGAGGGCCCGGAGACCCTCCCCAGCTCCTCGCTACGAGGGACTGTCAACAGTCAGCAAGCCTCATTGTAAGCAGGTGCAGCCGATCTCTTTTGCTTAAAGGAGAGGGTTCTACAACACCTGCTCAACATTCTGGAAAGCTCCTTTCCCACATCATGATCTGCCTAACAGCCCCCTCTTCTACATTCACTCATTGACGGGGCCTTACCCTTTTCTAGAGGAGCAGTCATAAATGCTGTGCATTCTATTCGCTCTCTTGGGGCTCTCCCACAGAGCTGGAACCATTTCCCAGAACCTGCCTGAATTGTACTGAACTTTTATCCAAGTGTACAGTGTGTTCCTTTGGACCCAGGTACTGGTGATTACCAGGCCTGTAGAAGGAAGCCCTGACCTCAGCTAGGGAGTTTCCTGATCTTCCTGTTTCACCTGACAGCATCAAACAGCAAGCCAAGCCCACAAGCCTTGTTGATCAGGTGATAGGAGTCACTCAGGGCAAACCTGTCAGCCTTCCAAGGACACATCCCATCAGTTGCTCACCCGTCATGACATGCAGCAGCTACTGGACGGCTCTTCCTAATCCCCAGTCATGCACTGAATGGACACTCACGATATGGCTCTGGTATGACTTGGTATTTCCCAAAGATTCCTAGGGGCTTAGTTCCCAGTGTGGATGAATCATGAATGTGAGGGTGAATGATACACACACCACTTTCATGAGTGGATTAATTGGGTCCCTTGGAAGCCCTAGGCCTTTGTGAATTGTATTTGGCATTGTGCAAGAAGGCTCACAGTGGTTTCACTCTGTATGGATGGCCTCTCCCACTTCCTGTCTTGCCGTGGGGTCCTTTCCACAAGTGTTTCCACTATCATCAGCCAACACAGGACCTTCAGCAGAGTCCTGCAGACCAAGCCTTTCTGTCTTACTCAAGTACCAGCCCCAGGTGTTTTGTTATATGATATGAAACAGAATGGCATCAGAGGCGACTCTCCCTAGAGGAAACCTGCCCTAGAAGTTCAACTACCTTGAATCAGGGCTGCGGCAAGAGGATCTCTAGAGGTTCCAAGTCTAGTTCACACAGTGAGACCATTCCTCAAAGCAAAGCAATTGAAATGCTTGAAGAGTTGATGGGAATGTAAAATGATGCAGCTGCTGTGGAAAGGAGAGTTGTCCAAACTCTTACACACAGTATCATCACATGACCCAGCAGTTCCCCTCCTGGGAATCTGTCCAATTGTTTGAAAGCAGGATATCAGTGATCTCTGCATACCATGCTTATGAATACTTTACTCACAATAGCCAAGAGGGGAAACGACTGAGCAGATGTTGTTGTGCAAGGGTAGGTGACTAACATTATACACACACCAAGGAGTCTTCTTCCTAAAGGGCAAGGTCTAACAGAATGGCAGCACACGCTTACGACGCCAGCCCTGAGTGGACTGCGGCAGGACTGCCTGAGCTCCATAAGGAGTTACAGACAGCTGGGGCTCTACCATGAGATCCCTTTTCAACAGCAAACAGAAATCCCTCAAACCATTTTTAATGTGAGAACACAGCGCCAGGGAGAGACCAAATTAAACTGTGTGCTATGTAATAGGGCAACTCCAAAAGGAAGTCAGAACCTGCTCTAGATCTAACGTGTGCCATCTAAAGATGCCACCTCTAGCCAGCACCCAGCAAAGCTCAGTGCTCTAGCCCTCCCCAACCCTCAACCAACCAACCACCCTTCGGCCCAGCTTGACTATTTAGAAAGGATCACTCCACCCACTTTTCCAATTGAGCTTTATTCCTGCACTAACGGTCCAGTACCACGAGCAAGCTGATTTCTCACAGTACACTTCCACAGGCTATCAGATCCACCACCCTTCAAGCCACAAATGAAGCCCTCAAGCTACTACCCAGCAGCGAGGTTGGCACAAGTTGTTGCTTTTTAAGGAAACAAGAGCTTAACCCTGGCACCAGGCCAGAAGTGGTGATGATTCGGCCAGCTCTCTTCCCCTGGTAGGGAGGAACAAGCAAGCAAACAATCGGTGACTAAGGTTTTGTGCATCGGGGCCTCGGCTGACAGTGGAAAGTGTGGACTCAGTAGTGTCCCTTCCTTTCTGACCCTGTCTGGGTTACCGCTCTCACTTTCCCAAATACAGTGGCTGGATGCTGATGTGAAGCCAAAAGCTGGTAACAAGACCTGCAGAGAACTCTGAACTCCCCTGCAAAGCCCTGGCCCTGGCCCCCACCTCATCTGCTGGAAAAGCCAAACCAGAGGCCTCCCCGGGCCATAGCAGCTCAGAAGTCAGGCACTGGCCTGAATAGAACCCATTCTCTTCCATCACTAGGATGCATGCAAAGCACCTAAATGTTCCTTGAGGTAGTCTATCACTCTCCCCACTTTACAGAGGGAAACAGGCTCCACGGGGAAGCCACAGGCTTGCCTAATGTCTCAATATTACGTAGCGGTAAGGATGAGGCTTTGTGAGAGGATGGTGTGATCTGAGCCCTTGCTTAGTAACTTAGTCCCCTAAAGTTACCCTTAGGACATAGGAGAGCTAAGAAAGTAAGAGACGGGTGTTGTTGGTTGTTTCTGCTCTTTTGTGGGGGGCCCACCACCAGCTCCCAAATAAATCACACATGGAGGTTTAGTCATACCTCCTTTTCTTAAAAGTCTCCAAAAAGTATCCAACTTTTCTTAATCTTTAAATCATCCCAACTACCTTTAGCCTCTGGGCTTTTCCTTTCTCTTACTTCTGTAAATCTTACTCTCACTCTGTGGCTTGCTGTGTAGCTTATGGCTGGCCCCTAGAGGCTTCCTCCTCTGGCTACCTCTTCTCTTTATTCTTCCATCTATTTTTTCCTCCTATTATATATTCTCTGTGCCAACCCCACC